AACAAGTGCATCCGTGTGAGATAGAAACAACAGACTACACACTACGCTTGCCACATAGCTGCCGAAGACTCTGCATTTAGGAAAGCACTCGTAACTGACGACATGTAAATGGAGATATGCGCCCCACCACTAACTTCACGTAAATAAGGGCCCCATCATAACAGTAAGGAAGACCATTCCAAGGGTTAAAAATTTCCTTCTTCGGTATATCACCTGAAACCTCGTTCTGGACTTATTTGGGTTTAAGCCATTAATGCACAGTAACGGGAAATTGTTTTCCATTCATTAGCGTTTGTGATCAGACCATAGACTGCAGCAACCAAAATATTACTGTCGTTTAGTGTTTTTTTTTGTGTTGAAAAAACGGTCAGCCGGTTTTGCTTGAATCAGAAACAATGAAAAGACGACCGAAAAAATAAAATATACTTATGCAGAGTTATAGTAACTTGCATTAAGAACAACACACAATTAATTAATTAAACAACATTAGAGTGCGAGTAGAGAAAACGAACGGAGTTTCCGTTGATATACTATTGCTCTCAGCAAAATAATGACTTAGGCGGCCGCTGTTTCATAAAAAACGCTCCAAAGCCGCGCGAATATCTAACAGTCGAATTTTGGAGTCAGTCTTCGCTTTTCCTTTCACGTAGACCATGATCCTGTTAGCAGTATTAACATTCACATGGCCTTCTCTTATCAGCCGATCGCAAACATGTTGGACGATCTCCAGCGACAAGGATCCTGACTGTTCGAGATTACGCCTGATCTGAAATAGTTGGCTGAAAGACAGTTCTAAGATTTATCAGCGAATCCTACCATTTGGTTCTTCGGTTCCTCTGTCGCTGCTGTCGGCTCCGCACCAGTAGTGCTATAATGATGAAAGCGGTATTCGTGCAAGTCAACAAAGCTGCGTTATTGGCGTCATGATAAAAAACGAATGCAAAATATTTGTTTCTGGCATCGACTAACATTTCAGTAGTCACCGACTCATTTATATAACAATATGCATATAATACATAAACACGATACACATAAATGAGATAAGAAATATAAAAAAATAATGAAGAGGAGATGAATTGGTGGATAGAGAGTTATCGTAGATGAATAAGTAAACGTATGGGATAAAATATATCGATAAATTGTTCCACATTTATCCTGCGGAGTGAGCCATCTACAGAATCATAGATCAACTGTATGCTTCAGTCCTGGCGCAGATCCAGACATATTACGACCGAGTGG